GTGAAGTAGAAGCGTCATATAGCTTAACGGTACTCGGATACATACTATTTCTCATTATCTTTCATAAGTATTAAATATGAGTTTCCATTTGAACAAATGTACTGTTTTATGTGAACTTTTATTGCCACAAGTTGCTCTAGTTTCAGTTATGAACTTTTTCCTAGTGCAGTTTGATTGCTCAAAGAGCGTCGTCCTTATGGAGGTATTTTCTCTCAACTTTTTTCAAGTTTAGTGTGCACATTTAATCACGGTTAATCAAATAATATTGAAATTGCTGCAGGAACAAAATGAGGCTTTTAAACCATCTTGAATCATTTTCATTTTATATTCCCAAAATTTAACATCACTAGGATTGATACATTTCACTCAACATGCTGAATGCAGCTATATTGAAGGACTCTGAATTTAGTGAAGTTGACAGAGCCGAGTGCCAGCTTAGTACTACAGCTATTGTTATTGACAATGGATCACAGGTATGATAAGTTTATGGTCTGGTGTCAAAAAGAAATGAATATAAGGTTCGAAATCTACGTCTCACCGACTCCTCGATTTTCTTGAAAGAACACATTGAACATGCTCATATCATATCACATCACCCACCCGAGTTCAAGTAACTTAGCTTTTATACAATTGAGGATTGTTATACTTCATTTCATCTGTTGAGCTTCATTAAATTAGCCATGTGCATTGTGAATCATAAACGCTGTGAACTATATAAATATAAAAAAACGAATCAGTTGGTGCTCTTAATATATCAAGTAAATCTCTTCAACTTTGAATTTGTTTCAGATTACTCCCCTCCAACCACCGAAGACTGGCGTTAATGGTTTCTTCGAATCTCTTAAAATAATTTGGAAAAACCTGTGGGAAAGTTTGGTGGACTTCATCACCGGAGAAACAGGTCATTTCGACGATTAGATTACATGTCCATTTCTTCTAAATTATGCCGTTGACTCGATGTTAAATTTGTTTCCTTTTGCTGTGTAGAAGGAAATGCCCGGGGGTTTTCGACTTCAGCTGTCATATACAAGATATCTGTATGAGTTGGATTCTTCTCTTCGGTTTACTCTTGGCGATATTTATGACGGGTAAACCTTCATTCTTATAAAGAAACGAGTTAAGGGAGAATGCAAATAATATGTTGATCACATCACATGGTATTTTGAATTGCAGTGCTCGTGTTGCTATGGCTCTTACATCAAAAAGGCTTCTTTGATCCTCTTTATGACTGTTTCGAGGATCATTTCGAGTTCGGTGATCATGGAGCTAATGATATCCATAGGCATGGTGTCAATAATCACCGCTACCCGATTCATGCCAGAAAGCGTGTCAAGACCAAGCATCACAAACACGATGCTCGATATAAACGAAGCGGCATTCACCATGATCACCGGCACAATCATTCCGACAGGGACGACGATTATCATCATTACCTGCATCATGTTCATAAGGACAAGCACAAACATAGGCATGTCAGGAGCTCTAGCATCATACAAGAAATCCAGTTGGATCGAAGGAAACACGATGATGTCGGGCACCACATGCATAGGGGAGCACCAGAGCTAATAGAAAGACCATTGAAGCTGAGATAGAGATAGTTCACAGCAAGATGAAGTTATAAATCATATCAATGGAAGGTTATTTTTTTAAAGTGAAGGATTAGATCCAAATTTTATTTTCTTTTTCATTTAAATTTGATATATAATAACTATATCTGAATGAAAAATTATTTATTGAATTCGATCTTTGAATCTTATAATCTAAATTGTATATTGTAGAGAACTACAATTCGAATATAAATCCACTATAATTGTACTTACTGGAAAAATTACTTGAATATTGCGATAAAAAATTGCTTGAACAAGGTGCGCCAAAAATTATTTCATGATTTAAAGTGATTGCTACAATAACCTGAAGATCTCCTTAAGATTATACAATGTTTTTTAAAAAAGCGTGTTGACTGCATAACAATTCCATGATCTCGTCATGCTTGCAAGATGAATTATCATGATGCTGACATGCATGTTACCTATCAACGGTACAATTTGCATACATGTTACCTAAACTACGCATTAATGTATAATCTTAATAAAATCCTCAAATCAATAATAAAATAACTTTTAATACTCCTTATTCCAATCATTTTTTCACCACAATCTTCGAACAATTTTGTCACTTACTAACATTTTAAATATGTGGATAAACTACACATTTAGTACCTAAATTATAAGTTTTTGATCCGTTTTAATATTTAAATTTTTAATTTTTTTCAAAATTATACGTAATGTTTAGTTTTTGTTTCATTTTAGTACCTCATTGTTAAAAACTTAACGTGTTTAATATCAAACTATCAATTTTGATCCATTTTAGTATCTAAACTTTCAAAAAAAATTCAAAACTTCATGTTAAATTTTGAATAGGATAATAAAATGAAACAAAAATTAAATTTTAGGTACGATTTAAAAAATAAAAGTTCCAGTACTAAAATAGATCAAAAACCTATAGTTTAGGTATTAAACATGTAATTTACCCGGGAAGAATCCTCATGCACAATGTAAAACTCTTTTAATTTTACAGAGATTTAAGATCGTTGAATGAGTGAAAACACATAGCTGAGATTAAAAGTAGGAAATGCGAATATATTTATTGGAAAAAAAACAAAGAGTCAATCTCAATCATCTATTTTCACTCGTCAAACGATAACATATGTAAAACTATTTTAGTTTTACATTGTATACCTATGTAAACCTATGTATATACACACACTGAATCATCGTTTACCGTCCGTAGTCTATTCGTAAAGAAGGCTACCTAATAGAGTTTATAGTTTCAGGCCAAAACAAATAATATAGACAGTGAATCGCAACCAGCCCACGAAGAGCTTTAAAAGTGGCCGGTGGTTAGGTCAGGTCGGACAGTAGATTCTTCTTTATCAAGTTGGCTCTTTTGCGCCTTCGTTTCGCTCCCTAGTTACCTCTTTCTCTATTAGTTTTGAACTTGAAACTTTCTGCACTCTCACATTGAGGAAAATGAGGAAACCCTTTAATTCAATTGCAACTTCAAGCAAAGCCCACTTCGAAAAAAAGTGAAGAAGAAGAAGGGGAGAAAGAGTTGGAATCTTCATCCGAATAAGAGAACTCCGATGACTCCATTGATTTGATGAAGTAGGTATATTTTACCATAGCTTAAAATCTTATTCTCCCAATTTTCAACTGATTATATTGTTTCCGTGTTTTTGGGAGAGTTGTAGGAGGAAGAGATAGAGCGTGAATTAGCAGAAGTTACTTTCGAAGAACTACAAAAGGCACGAGCCGACGGTACGGATTCAGTTTCTCGTAAACCCCGTTCAGACGCCAAGCACCGTCACGCTAACAAGAATAGGTATATTTTTTACGATTTTATAGATAAGATTTTTTTTTGTCTTTCGTGTAGGGCGATTTTTTTGGGGTTTTGATTCGTCTTTTATATAGGCCAATGGAGCTTAGTAGCAAGAAACCAGTGAGGTCATTTAGACAAGTTATTCAAGCTCCTAAAAAGGTAAATTATGTTTGTTTAAGCTTTTGCTTTTGTTTTGAATGCAATAAGAAAAACAAATTAATCAGTATAATCGTAGTTTTGCTTGCCTAAATTAATGTTCTTTCGGTTTTTTAAGTATCTGAGTTTTGCTTTAATGGAATTCTGTGCCGTGTTAGCTACCTTTGTAAGATCTTAATTGTGTCCCTGTTATCTGAGCTTATAACTTTCCTTAAACTATTGAAGTTGATCTTATGATTTATGTTTATGGATTTTTTTTCCTTCTGTTTTCAGCTTTTGTGCTTTAATTGATGTTAATATGATTTGCTTGTAAGTGGCACTAAAAGGTGAATCGAATCTGTTTGCTTCTTTCTGTTCGGGTGGCACAAGACCCCGATTTGAATCTCTATGTGGTACACTTGATGTTGATGGGTTAGTCTCTTCTCTCTTTATCATTCAACCATTTACATTGAATTCATTTGTTGCTTTTCATGTTCAGTTCTCTACATCGGTCCCGTTGTAACTTGTATTGCCCTACACACAGTTTAAGTACTCTTACCTCTGTGTATCAGACGAGTGGGATGAGGAGTTCTTCATGGATTAGTCGTTAGTAATCTATTCCATGATCTTTAAGGACAACTTTTTGATTGGTCGGCCAAGCTTCATACGTTAGTGTACTAAATCCACCGCAAAATATGTTACTGAATGAGTATTGCATGGAATCTTGCTTTTCTTTTACCAGAATACCAGTCTATGGAGCTTTGCTTTGATAGTAGTCTAGTTTACCATGTGACTGCATCTCATAAATGCCCGTAATAGTTCAATAAGTGATGATCGACCTCTTGGTTGAGGTAGCATTTGATGGTTTTGACTTTCTACTTTCCGGATTATGTCTTTCGTTGACATATTGGCTTTTCCTTAGCCTGCAACTGATGATTATTTTTTTTGTTTTGCAGATTCTGAAAATGATACAATTTTCTGTTTCAGAACAACCTACCAATTGAAAGAGAGGTATATTCTCATCTATTTGACCTCATTTTAGGGTTTATATTGATTTTCCAACTATATATTTCCCGGTTACAACAGGAGGTGCAGAAACGACTTAAAAAAAACCAAAGACCCAAAAGTCATCAATGAACTGAAGAACCATATTTCTTGGATTGTAAGTAATATATCTATTCAATAGAAACCACTACAGTCTCCAGGGTCTTCTATATGGCCCTTGGATACATCAAAGTACCTCCCTATCAACTTATTTACATTGGATCGTATATCAGGATATGCACTTGAAGTTTGAATCAGCAAAGATACCGACGCAGAGATTCTGGCTGCACACAAGAAGAAAGAAAAAGAAGCAGCAAAGCACGGCAAACTCCCTTTCTATCTTAAGAAATGTATTCTCATGAATCCTCTCCTTCTCACTACAGCTTTTGGAATCTTGTGTTGGTATCCATCGACTGTAATATAGGAAACCGTCATGTTGTATCATGCCGTATTCCTACGAGTCCGTTTTAATGGTTGCAAACTCGGTTTACTCCTTTGCAGCTGAAATCCGGAAACAAAGGCTTGTTGAGAAGTATAAAAAGCTCAAGGTACACATTCGACATACCTTGCAATTTAAACAATATTCCTTATGACATTGACCGTCTCAACTGATTAACTATACCGATGATGTATCATCGGCATCCGGCGAACTTGAATCCTTCATCGAGAAAAAGAGAAGAATGCTGCAAAGGATCATAGGTTCATGCCGTATCGTAGACCCAACAACAGTGAGCAACAAAGCTAAATGACCCTACGGGTTTTTATGCAGTCCATTTTGGATGGATAAGACTTGCCCGATGAGATTAAGGTTTTGAATTTGATTGGTATAACATCCTCCTTTAGCCATTGTGCTACCATTCAATGAGTTAAAGAAAATGATGATTTCATTCCCATTGTTTTGAGATTTTGCTATATAATTTGGGTACTAATTCGATGATTTTAAGAGAGATTCGGAGTGATTGGTTTATTATTTTTTTAGTGGACTCTTTTTATTTAATAAAATTAAGGACCACTATTTATTAAAATAAAATAATTCACCCTGTTGTACTTTTTAATTTAATAGTTGGTTTTAACTATAATCATAGGGATATGATATTTTTAATTTAACTTCAAAAATATATTTATATTATTACAATCAAAATTAAATTTAAATGGTTAACCGGCTCAACCTATGAATTAAAAAATAGAGTAAATTATACGTTTAGTACTTAAACTATTAGTTTTCATCCGTTTTAACAGTAAAACTTTTAATTTTTCAAAATTATTTCTTATGTTTAGTTTTTATTTCGTTTTAATGCCTATTTACACGAAGTAACTTTTTTATGAGTAAATTGTATCATTTTATCACTTAACTTTCAGATTACTCTTAAATTAATCACTTTAACTTTCAAATATATATTTATTTATAATTACTCATTAATAAAATAATAATAAAAACATCATGTCATGAAAATTATTAATAAAATAAATTAGAGTGATTGAAATAGAAGCAATTTGAAAGTTGAGTATTTAAATTAAAAAATTCTAAACTTTAGTACAACAATAGGAGTGAAAATATAGTTCATGGATGAATGATGTAATTTATACATAAAAAATATAATACAAACAAAAACTAAACGTCAGACATAGTTTTAAAAAAATTGAAAGTTTAAATATTGAAATAGACTAAAATTAATAGTTTAAGTACTAAATGCATAATTTACCCTAAACATTTATCTACACTGAGCTGAACATCTAAATTGGGCTCTGAAGTCTAAACTCTAATTGGACCAAAGTAGACCAGCCTGCAAACGCTGGCTTTATATTTTACTTGATGGTGATCCGCGAGGCGGTTGGTGGGTAAATAAATACTCGGCGGTTATCAGAACAACATAGTATTATCCTTTCCAGGCAACAACAGTCACTAAACCAAGGAAAAAGAAAACCAGTTGATCGAAACAGAGATTACTTGGTAAGACAACATTACAAGAATCCTTTAACTTCTCAGTTCTGTCTCTTTTTTCCCCCTTTTTTTTTGTAGATTTTGTATGAGTTTTAACGTTCTGTTGATTCTCAGGGGAAAGAGATAGTAGACCTAGCAAAAAGCTTAAAACTGCAGTGAAGGTCGTCCATATCCTCTACCTTTTCGATTTCTACATGGAATTAATGGGTTTTTTCTTTTCATTTTCCTTACAAAAGTTTGCTGTTTTTTTTGCAGGATGATCATAGGAGCTCAGCTGTTGAAGACGAGAATTCCTTTTCTCTTGACGAAGGGGACGATGATTCTCGTGATGGTAACCATTTCTTTGTTCTATTTTTTTGTTGTTGCTAATTTGAGTTTTTCTTTGTGGAGGGATAATGTTTTACGATTGGATTTGAAGGTGAAAAAGAAGGGAAGAGGAGAGATTTTAGCAAATTAGAACTAAAGCCCGACCATGCGAATCGACCGTTATGGGCTTGTGCCGACGGGCGTATATTCTTGGAGACATTCTCTGCTTTGTACAAGCAAGCTTATGATTTTCTCATTGCTATAGCTGAACCTGTTTGCAGGTATTGATGTTGAATTGTTTTTCTTGTTGTTTGCTTATTTGGGCGCATCTCTTGATATGGTTATGGATGTGAATTTTCCATATTTGTAGACCGGAGTCGATGCATGAGTACAATCTAACGCTGCATTCTCTGTATGCCGCCGTATCCGTGGGGCTGGAAACCAAAACCATTATATCAGTGTTGGATAAACTGTCCAAGACCAAGCTCCCTAAAGAAATGATTGATTTCATACATGCTTCTACTGCTAATTACGGCAAAGTCAAGCTCGTGCTCAAGAAGAATCGTTACTTTTTCGAATCTCCATTTCCGGAGGCAAGTTGGTTTGGTCATTGTTTTAGATGATTGTATGATTTGTTGAAATTTGTGGGTTAATTGGTATTCATTGTTTGGTGATATCGATTGCTGCAGGTGCTGAAGAAACTGCTTCAAGATGAGGTTATAGCTCGAGCTAGGATCGTTTCCGAGGTTTGTTACATAATGTGAAATGAATTTGTTGATTTGTGTTGCTTTAATTGCAGTTGAGGCAAAAAGTCATATTTCCCGACTGATGTTTATCTTCACGCTTTTTATAGAATGTGCACGGAAGTGATGGATTTACAATCAGCAAAACTGCGGGTGAAATCGAAACTGACCATGATGGTTTGCTTAATGAAGCAGAATTGGCTGCTGCTGCCGAAGAGAAAGAAACTCATGCATTCGAAATCGACCCTGCTCAGGTTGTTCTACTTCATTGTTTGACTTCGTATTTCAAGTCCATTATTATTGCTAGATCTCTTCGAGGATACAATTTTAGGGCTGGCTTTTTGTTCGTGCAATCATATCTTATGACATCTTTCATGCGAATAAATCGATGATGTTGGACCATAAGTTCCTTAGCTTATAGTATGATGGAACATTGATCAGTTGCAGAGTTTTTCCGGCCGATTTTTACGAAATGTGATTATCCTTCATTTAACTATATCTTACCTTGAATTTTTGCATTGACAGGTTGAAAATGTGAAGCAACGATGCCTGCCAAATGCTCTAAATTATCCAATGTTGGAGGAGTACGACTTTCGGAATGACACCGTGAGTAACATTTTCCTCGACACTAATAACAAAAGTGGCTTCGGATAAATGGTGGCGATCGAGTCCATATTATTCAGGACCTGATAGTATCTTGGTTGTTTTATTGGTTCTTCGACGTATAGGTCAATCCCGACCTCGACATGGAACTGAAGCCTCATGCACAGCCACGACCATATCAGGAAAAAGTCTTGGTAAGATGTTTGGAAATGGTAAGATTATGTATATTACACCTATACATATTTATGTGTTTGTACATGTATAATACATCTTTTTTATGAATTCTCCTTGTTGTTTTCTCTTGGAATGCAAAATGATAATGCAGGTAGAGCGAGATCCGGCATTATTGTGCTACCTTGTGGTGCTGGAAAGTCTCTAGTTGGTGTTTCTGCAGCATGCCGGATAAAGAAAAGTTGCCTTTGTTCAGCAACAAATGCAGTTTCAGTGGATCAGTGGGCCTTTCAGTTCAAGCTTTGGTCGACCATACGAGATGAACAAATTTGTCGTTTTACATCCGACAGCAAAGAGAGGTTCCTCGGGAATGCGGGAGTGGTTGTGACAACATATAATATGGTTGCTTTTGGTGGTAAGCGGTCTGAAGAATCTGAAAAGATAATTGAAGAGATAAGAAACAGAGAATGGGGACTGCTGCTCATGGACGAGGTAATTATTAATTTCCGTTATTCACAGCTTCTCGATCTCTAAGAAAGATTTTCGACCTTATACGCGATAAGAGAAATGATTCTATTCCGTGCAGGTCCATGTGGTTCCTGCTCACATGTTTCGGAAAGTCATCAGTCTCACTAAATCCCACTGCAAACTGGGGCTTACTGGTACGTGCTTCGATTTTTTCTTCGATTCATCGTTAGCTCTCAGCTGCCTCGTAAGTAAATACATAAATCCTATTATGTAGCTACACTTGTGAGAGAGGATGAAAGAATTACGGACTTGAACTTCCTTATCGGTCCCAAGTTGTACGAAGCAAATTGGCTTGATCTAGTGAAAGGAGGGTTCATAGCAAATGTTCAGTGCGCTGAAGTATGGTGCCCGATGACGAAGGAGTTTTTTGCTGAATATTTGAAGAAAGAAAACTCCAAGAAGAAACAGGTTCGCTTTAATCTGTCGGTCCTTAACGATGTTCGCTGTATCTTATTTACTTTGTTGTTTTTTGCTTTTGAGGAAGAAAAATCCGAGATATTTCCCTTAAAAGGGTGAATTTCTTGCATTTCAGGCACTTTATGTGATGAATCCTAATAAGTTCAGGGCGTGTGAGTTCCTCATACAATTCCATGAACAGGAGCGTGGCGACAAGATAATTGTCTTTGCGGACAATCTTTTTGCATTAACCGAGTATGCAATGAAACTACGCAAGCCTATGATCTACGGTGCTACCAGGTTGTTTTTGAACCATCAACTGCTTGCCGTAGTCTGCCATTTTCGTATCGTCTTATATTATTGACTTGCAATCTACCCGTGTCGTGTGCAGCCATCTTGAGAGGACGAAAATTCTCGAGGCTTTCAAAACTAGCCGTGATGTGAATACTATTTTTCTCTCGAAGGTATTCAATCCATTACATTTTACTCTCAGTTTCGATACTATGTCCTTCAATATCAAGTGTTACGAACTGATATTGTGCCCCATCAAAAAATCGAGTCTTAATTATTGTTCACATTATCGGCTTTAAGCTGGTGAGGCTTTTTAATGCTTTCCGATCGACAGGTCGGTGATAACTCTATCGATATTCCTGAGGCTAACGTGATCATTCAGATTTCATCTCATGCCGGTTCAAGACATCAAGAAGCCCAGAGATTAGGACGTATTCTTAGGGAAAAGGCCAGTATTACAATTTAATTCTGCATCTCAAATTTTTCATCTTTGTTTCTCTAGTTGCTGAAATTTCGGATGGACCGACAGGGAAAAATCAAAGATAGGATGGCTGGTGGCAAAGAGGAGTATAACGCGTTCTTCTATTCCCTCGTTTCTACGGATACACAGGTATACGCTTATATTTTCCTTACGTGAACGATGATTATTCGTAAGCATAGTGTAAACAATGGTTTGTTTAACTAAAATAGATGATCGGCCGATACTGTTTGCAGGAATGTACTACTCGACTAAAAGGCAACAATTTCTGATTGATCAAGGTTATAGCTTTAAGGTATGTCATTTATCATCTTGGTGCTCCGGTGTTTATTTCAGGTATGCACACTCGACTTTGAATAACATAGCTTATTGTATAATATTTGATGTAATATTTTTTATAGGTGATAACAGGCTTGCCTCCACCTGATGCCGGTGCCGGGTTGAGTTACTACCATCTCGACGAGCAATTGGCCCTACTCGGAAAAGTGCGTATCTTTTCACTTGCTTCTGTTTTTTAGGCAGTCGTCGAGCTAGTGATTGTTTACAGCTTCTTTTCATCAGGTCTTGACAGCAGGTGATGACGCAGTCAGTTTAGAGCAGTTGGAAGAAGACGCAGACGATATAGCCCTCCATAAAGCTCGGCGCTCGACGGGATCGATGAGCACAATGTCGGGCGCAAACGGAATGGTTTACATGGAATACAGGTACAATGTCTCGCATATTTTCCAAAGTTTGCATGCATTATAACACACTTTCAAGTGCCATTTAACCATGTCTATACAAATCTCCTCTTTTGCAGCAGGGGGAAGCATAAACTTGTCGGTCAGGTCCAGAATAAGAGCAAGCCGAAGGATCCGTCGAAGCGTCATCACTTGTTCAAGAAACGCTACGGTTGAGACGGAGAACCGGACCGAGCAAAAAGGTGAGTTTCCTATATTCATCGAACTCATCGAAGTGTCGAGTTTTTATTCGAATTTAAATGTAATTATTCACAATGTTATGTTATTAATTGGTTTTAGTTTAAACAATTATTTTTAATTATATATATTAATGATATAATTAAAATAATACCAAAGGAAAGTCGAGATTCTTTTGGTGGTCAATTCACTGGCTAATCCAATCAGATAATTGTTATTCGATGTGGGATTTGATGTTCCACAAGGTATTGGCTATCCAAGTATTCTTTTCCTTATCGCCAAAATATATTACATTTTGACGATCCAATATGTAGTACGAAAATAATATGTTTTTGGCAGAATATAGTTAATTTTATCATATCACAATTATTATGTTAACGTTAAATTCGGAATACCGTTAATGTTTTAACGAAAAATGATGAGTTTAGAACTTAATAAATAGTTGAGTGATATTTTATAATTTTTTAATAATCGAGAGATTTAACAAAGTAGCAATCTATAATATATAATAATCGAAAGAGCACTCCATAAATTTATTTTAATAGTTGAGAGATTTAATAAATCAGTGTCCTCTAGTTGAGGATCGATTGTGTAGTTTACCCTAACTTAAAATTTTACCAAATAAAGTAGGAGAAATTATTAATAAAAATCGCAATATTTATCATCGATCACCTATAGAGTAATATGCGAGAAATTATTTTATTTTATAATTTTTGACAGTAAAATGTTGAGTTCTTTTGACTATCACTATATAATTACAATATATTTTTTCCTTAAAAAATTGTACTTGTAATATTATGAATTATAGGAGATAATAATACAAAAAAAGAAAAAGAAAATCATTATGATGGATGACAATATTAGAATAGATGCACACTACAAAAAACTAAATGTAACACCCCAATTTAGGGGCTAAATTTAAGAAAATATAAATTGGTGGATTTAATTTGGTATTTTGAAAGAAACAGGGGATTAAATTGTAAAGTTCTAAAGTTGGCAAACCGTTTTCAGAAGTGCAGAAAATTCAGTGGCTAAACTTATGGTTTACCCATTTTTCTTTTTGAGATATTATAAACCCCCATCAGACGCATATTTTTCTGGAAAATTCCAGTTTTCCTCTTCCCCTCAACCTCTTTTTCAACTCCGATCTACTCGCCGTCCGACCTCCGATCGACGAACCGAAACCACCATCGTGTTCGTTGTCAACCGAGGAACAAAACCCCTCAAACCTTTCGTCGTGAATCATTGTCGTTCGTCATTAATTTCAGTCGAAAGTATCGTCGGTAATAACTCGATTTTAGTTGGTTTTTCATCGATTCACGATGATCGGGTAATCCGTTTACGACACCTCCCGCACCATCGCGTTCCTTGCATCGTTCCGAGTCTGTCGGTGTCATCCTTGGTCTCCGTCGACGGCGGCGCGTGAGGAGGTGAAGCGATCAAAGTTTCCGACGTTTTGGAATCGAGCTCTCCGCCGTTCAAAATTGTGAACCGATCTTTGTAAGTGCCTCAAAATCGCTTAAAATAATTTTTAGGAATTTTTCCGGGAATTTTTCGACACGGGGTTACTGTTCACGCGCCGCACGCGCCACCACCTGAGAATGGGCTTCGTCTGGAAGCCTGAGGAGCCGTTTGAGTCGAGCCGCTTGAGCTGAGCCGAGCCGTTTGAGCCGAGCCGTTTGAGCTGAGCCGAGCCGTTTGAGCTGAGCCAAGCCGAGCCGCCTAGATCGAGCCGTTTACTGTTGACCACCGTTGACTGACGTTGACTACAGTTAACCAAAACGTTGACCAGCTTTGACCGGGCATTAAACGACCTTTGACTTCGACCGAGTATACCTATCTTGATAGTTTTCGACGTTCCAAATCCGATTCCGTAATCCGTTTTCCAAAATTCGGACCCGAAGGCCTCGTTATTGCCGGTCAAACCCGTTGACTTTGATTTTGACCGAAAATTCCAAATTTTCGAAAAGTCATACTTTATGCTTTCGACGTCTTGAATCCGAATCCGAAGTCGGTTTCGCTAAATTCGAACCCGGTAAGCTATTTTTGACTAATTTATCACCCGATTCGATCCGTTTATCGCAATTAAGCTCCGTTTCTGATATAATTTATGTTGATATGTATCTGAGGAATTATTTGAAGTTGAATTGAAGATCAAAGGCATTCGAATGGAATTTTTATGGTCGATCGGTATTGCACGGAAATCGAGGTAATACTTTACTACCTCTTTATGCTTTATGGAACATGTTGATATTGGTAAATGCATGAATAAGATAATGTTGGTCACTTTTGTGGAGTTGAATAATTTATTCACTCGATATGAATGTGGTAGAAATTCTGTAACGGAATACGGATCGAATGACTAAGATAAGAGATTGATAATTGTTAGAATTAAATTACAAGTTTGTGATTGGTGATAAAGAAATCAGCTCTGGATTTGTAACTTATATTTTATCATCAAGGGTTAAATGTTAAAGATACTTGGATGAAAAATTATGAGAATACTCCGATATGGTAAAATTACGAAATTACCCTTATGTTGGAAAATGATAAGAATTGCCCTGGAAGTTGGTTAATAACTCTGAAAAGACATATTGAAATTATCGGTTAAGAAATACGAAAATGCCCTTGAGAGATAAAATAGTCTGATTTGACCCTGAATGAGAAAGTACTTTGAGGATTTGTACTTAACTCGATTAAGTACGAATTTAATTGTTAAGATCCTGTCTTTGTACAGAAAAATTTATAATATTCCGTTTGTAAAATCTGAGAAGACACTTGACTCGAAAATATTCGAATAAGGAGTAAATACTTGAAGAGTAATTTATCGGAGGTATTCTGCTGACAGAATTGTTCGAAAGGACTGAAGTAAATGATAAGATTGAATTAAATAATAAGACCGGATGGAAGGAAATGATTGAAATATTCTAGAATTATAAAATGACCAAATTACCCCTGGAATGGAAATGACTCAAGAATGTCACCAAGCTCAGGAATGAATGGATATACTCAAGCTGTGAAATGAATAGAAAAAAAAATGTTAAGCACCAAAATGACCAAAATGCCCTTATGACCTAGAATAAGTAAATGTCTTGGATTAATTAAGAAATCCAAATAAACATGGATGTTGTGCTACCAGTAAAAGTTGTGGAACGCAACTTAAGTGATTAACCAACGTTAGTACTATATCATTACCTGAATGATATAAGTATCACTTGAATGTTTGTTCATCTTCTCAAATTTGGATCGATGATAATTCTGGAAGTACTTGGCGCAGCTCAACTCTAGAGCGCATACAGTACTAATAAGTGGGTAGTCGTTAGTCAAATCAACCACGAATACCAGAATGACTTTATTATATTAATAAGTTGAAATGAAATGAAGTACAACGTGTATTTGAAATTCAGAAATGTCTGAATTATTCTGCAAAACTTTAAAGTAATCGGGATAGACTTGCTTACCAAACGAACTAAGTAACATCAATGACTAAGGATTAAATAGGTGATTTGATGAGTTTGGAAACACTGTTGAACTTACATGATGAATTGTCATTATGGGTTATGAGCCATGGATCAAGTACGTCAGTATTTCCTGATATTGTTGAAACGTGGAAATGAAATAAAGACCGTTGGAAGATTTATTCAGTGATGATTATGGGGATGATCTATGGATCTGCACTATGGTATTAAAGAGTGAATACACTGGAAGGATAATGAATTGACTTGTTGACATGCATCAGTTTGAGAGTTGTGTAACTCGAGTTGTTTGATAATATGATCGATAGTCGTAGATTGTAAATGACTTGAATCTTCGATTCTATATTTCATCTAAAATCACTTCGGTCATGTTTGAAAAAAAAAACAAGTAACGCGATGGAAAAGATTCTGAATATCCCATTTGGTTCAATTGGGCTGAAATCCTATGAATTTAAAGTATATTCATGAATACCCCTGATTGTTTGGGGTAATGGAATCACTCGCAGTAAATCTGAATTTAGAATTATTATGTATAAAGGTTCCTGAACGTTTTCCTAAAGCACACGAAAATATAGTGGGATTCTAATGTATCAACATTAAATGTCTGGCTAGATCGGTTAGTAATCGATTCTCCTCAATAGAACCTTGTTCCAGGAATTCGATCAAATTTCATAAGTTCATGTTATCCAAATGATAACTACTGGAAATACTGGGATTCTCTAGTGTGTTCCCTACTTATTACTGAACTGTTTTATTGGTTTTAATATGTGGTACACCGAATTCATTGGTTATTGTTTATTGATGCACCAATTTAATGTGACAATTTATGGAATATGGCTGCTATCTAATTTTTGTTTGAACTGGTATATGATTACCATGTTTTTGGATTTATGGAATTTGTGTCACGGTGCAATTGAATTTTGGAATTGAAATACGATGGAATAGCTCTGATCAAGCTAACTGGGCCTAATGTGACTCTTGAGGGCCCAAGATGTTTCATTAGGTCGGCTTTCCTTTGCTGTGTGCTTAGGGTAAGCTATATGGACTTATTGACTTGGGCTTAAGGATACAAGCTTCAGAGCCTATCCTTAAGTCGGCTTTCTTTTTGCTATGTGCATAAAGTAAGCTATATGGAAAATAATTTTGGGAACTACTGATGGTGTACCAGAAAAGGGTTTAAACTATGATTTTCAAAAGTTAAACTCTTTTACAAAATTGTGAGATTTACTGGACTAAGATTTGTACCTATTATGATTTTATTATACTGTTGGAACACACTAGACATCCTATTCGATCTCCTGAAAATATCATACTTTGAAAGGTTTCTTATGAACTGAGATTCATGGCTTCTACTCTATGAACTTCTAAGGGAACCCCAAATTATTCTGCAAGCTGGTATACATATGATTCAATAAGGAAATTATATGGCTTTCCATTTATCTACATGTCATGTAGCATCATCTGGTAGTTCTGTATTACTGAGCTTTCCAAAGCTCACTCTAT